TGGAACATGCTCGTGTGCGATGGCAAACCGTCTGTCCTGCAGTCAGGACACGCGAGTTGTGTGATGTGATTATTTGCTGCCAGTAAAAAACTTGAAGTAGTTTAAAAACAGCTTTCTAAATTAACTTTGACATAAACCCGTCTGTGATCATCTGTTAAAGCAGCCGACTCTGGATGTGAAACGATCCTCACGATAACTGATGATTTAATTCATTTTTTACCCGAAAACAAAGAAAAGTTTATTTAAATGAGGTTTTATGAGACTTACATTTGTAATGGAATAAAGAAATAGTGTCAAAATGTTTGAATTAAGTTTTAATTAAAAGTGGGGGAAAATCCACTTCATATTAATTAAGTATCAAACAGAGGGGGACATTTTGAGCCCAGAGGACCACAGCTGTGATTATGTGCTGCCAAACCTTCTCACTAAAGTTCAACACACAGCCCTCTGTGATTAGTCTGATAGTCAAAATAATCGAAACGTTTCAATATGTTTTATCTTGTACTGTTTATAAGATTGAAACCTGCAGTCAGCTGAGACTGAAGACGTCACCTGATGAAGAATCGTTTCTCGTCATCACGCTACAATCAACCTTTGGAGATTTCAATATTTTATTTTCGCTCAAAAACAGAGTGTACTTTATGTAAATGAGGTCTGGTGGCCCTAAATTGCAAAATGAAAGGTACATTTTGTGTTAATGTGTTAATCTTAAGTAAAACTAAGGTGTGAAACTGTATTGATTGAAGATTTGTACTTTAAAAAACACTCAAATGACGTTGGGTCCTTTTTGACCAGGACATTATGAGGGTGAACTTCGGGATCACACGGTTGTTTTAAAAGCATCTTTCAAGACAAAGCAAGAGCCAGTGTAGGTACATATATACAGTATATATAATGTATATGTCTTTTGCAGGAATCAAACATGATATCATCAGAAACAAGGAGTCCGTCACCCTGCGCTGTCCTCACCCTGTGGAGGGTGAGGTGACGTGGAGCAGAGAGAACAAAGGAAGGATAGTTGACATACTCACCGCTGACGGTAACAGCGAGAGAAGACTCATCAATGACACACGATTCATGTCATCAGCTGATAAGTGGCTGATCATCCTGAGGCCTGCTGCGTCAGACTCTGGGAGATACCTGTGTAATAACAAACCAGCGGTGCAGCTGACGGTGATCTCTCCAGGTAACGTCACACTTTGTCACTGTTGTTCTGTTTGTGTCTGTTTTCAAAGATCAGGTTCTCTTCAGGGCCTGTGGGAATTAAACAGCACGAGCGCACACCTCCATCACTTTAATGGGTTAAATAACAGTCCTGCACATAGATGGCACATCAGGGTCAAAGTTTAACCACGATTAGTTTTTATAACCATGAAAAAGCAACATGAGTGAATTCAGATTAACTTGATTAATCTCATCATTTTACAGGACAATCAGCTTCTACACCCTTTCCAGCAAACGCAACATCAGCACCACCCACAAACTCAGGTATCACTGAAATCACAAAGTTTCACAGATTATTGAACATAATCAGAGTAAAGCGAGTCTCTGCCACCACAACACCAGCTGTTTTATGTCCAGTTCAAAGAGAACGATGTCGGAGATTTTAATCTGTTTGATCTTGATTTGTAACTAAAGCTGTCACACGCTGTGATAATATAGAACAATACAGGTTAAAGTATTTCTCTGAAAACCAAAATCTAAAGTTAAGTTATGATGATGACGTGTACAAGCTTGACTGTCCCACCACAGACTGGGTCTCAGCTCTCGACAGTTCATCACTTTTAAAAATGCTCTTTTGTTTTCTCTTCCTTTTCCTCTGAAGACCAGCAGCTGCTTCTTGGGTTGATTTATGGAACAGCCGCTTCATTCATCTGCATCATCATCATCATCATCATCGTTGCATCTGTTTTTTACCCAGCGAGGAGCGGGTCCAACAAACAAGGTGAAGAAAGCCTGAGACACACGAACGGGAGAATTTTTAGATCCACTGATAAACACAATTATTTCACAGAATGTAACACGTACTTCTTTAATTCAGTTTTATTTATACAGAGCAAATCACAACAAACTGCTTTGTACTGTAAGGTCGACCCTACAATAATACACACAGAGAAAACCCAACAATCATATGACCCCCTATGAGCAGCACTTTGGCGACAGTGGGAAGGAAAAACTCCCTTTTAACAGGAAGAAACCTCCGACAGAACCAGGCTCAGGGAGGGGCGGGGCCATCTGCTGTGATTGGTTGGGGTGAGAGAAGGAAGACAGGATAAAGACATGCTGTGGAAGAGAGACAGAGGTTAATAACAGATATGATTCAATGCAGAGAGGTCTGTTAACACACAGTGAGTGAGAAAGGTGACTGGAAAGGAAAAACTCAATGCATCATGGGAATCCCCGGCAGCCTACGTCTATTGCAGCATAACTAAGGGAGGATTCAGGGTCACCTGGTCCAGCCCTAACTATATGCTTTAGCAAAAAGGAAAGTTTGAAGCCTAATCTTGAAAGTAGAGATAGTGTCTGTCTCCTGAATCCAAACTGGAAGCTGGTTCCATAGAAGAGGGGCCTGAAAATTGAAGGCTCTGCCTCCCATTCTACTTTTAAATACTCTAGGAACAACAAGTAGGCCTGCAGAGTGAGAGCGAAGTGCTCTAATAGGGTGATATGGTACTACAAGGTCATTAAGATAAGATGGGGCCTGATTATTTAAGACTGCTGACAGAGAGAATATTATTAATAGGATATGTAATTAAAACACCTTTTCAATGCATCGTTTGCACACATAGAAGCTGCGATGATGTGTCCAGATTCCCTCCTCTGTCCTCTCGCTCACGTCTCTCTTGGAGTCGATCACTAACATTCAGGTTTTGTTCACTTTGGCAGGAAGTGAAAGAAAAGAGCACGTCTATCATTACATAATAGATGACGTCAGGTTAAAGGCTGAAAATGGTGAGAAATACTTTGACTACCTTGCACTGCATTACAGTGTTGCTATCGTTCCCACTGAGATGTGGATTTTATTCATTATTTATTATTTTATAAAGTGATAAATTTAAATGTTTACGCATTTAAACAAACATAGTTTCGCGTCATCTTACGATTTCTGCAGTTAGTCTTTGTTTTTCTTTTATATGCCGGTTTTCCTGACTCGCTCTCTTCCATTTATTTATTTATTTATTGAAATTAATGATTTATTGAGGCTCCAAAACCATTTATCATTGAGCATTAAAACAGAGAGAGTAGAATATAAGAAAAAATAGAAAAGTCACACAGGCTTGACACAGTGTGACGACACCAATGTTAAACAACAACATTTTCATCTTCAAAGTCAACATAAAGCCCAAATATATCACAACTTCACCAATACAACATAAAAATATCCAATATAACATATAATCACGCTCTACATACACATATATTTTACATGTACGTATTTATTTGTATGTAAATATACAAACACTCCTGTTGTTATTGTTGTATTTTCTTCATCCACAGCTCCGTCACAGATCATTAGAACCACTGGATAAAGCATCTGCAAATAGCAGCCACTGCACGGCTCACCTGAGAGATACCTGTAAAAGCAATTTTTAAAGCTGCTGTAAAAACATAAAATAGATATTTAACAACAGTTATATCAGGCATGTTGTGCACTTTAAATAACAGCTGCATTATTTTGTTTAAATGATCATATTTACAGTGACAGGACTGTGTGAATGATTGTATTTTCTATCAGTAAATCTTCATTTCTTTAGATTTTATATATTTAAGTCTTTTGCATGTTTATTTTTTATTTTACAAATCATATGAGAGTTTTGAACATCTAACTGTTACCTGATATTATAAGTCTGAAAATATCCAGTGAATGTTTTAGAAAGAAAGTTGATTTCTCTGCTGACTTTGAAAAGTGAGCTGTTTATTTGGCCAAATACCAACATGAAACTGAACAGGCACGTGCAAAACGTAGACGAGAAATAATCCAAACACGAGCATGAACCCTAACCTGAACAGCTGCAACAAAACTCTGCACGCTGACGTGACTCGACGTGGAGAAACAGGCGACCCGACACTGAACGAGGACGACAAAGGACTTCAATACACAGAAGGGTGATGAGAGCAGTGGGAACAGCTGGGGAGGCACAGCTGACACAAATGATCAAGACGCCTCAGGAAAAAACTAAACACACTGAACGTGAGCCGTGTCCCAAAACGTCGGCTGCATCCTTCGGAGGACCCGGCCTTCGTGGTCTACGTTGGCCGGGTCCTTCGAAGACTGAGAAGGCCGGAAGTAAACGGCTGTGAAATGGGACGGTCCAGCCTTCAGATCTGCGTCACCGCTGTGTGGGTGGAGTTTAATAAACTCAGCCGTCTGCTCCTTGATATCTAAAATATAACACTGGTGTAAATTCTCAACTCTCTCACACTTCTGTTTAATCAGTTTTCTGTTTGACGTTTATTCAGCTGTGTGAAAACCCCGGAGGAACCCACCCGATGGATTAATAATGTTTGATTTAATCTAATAATCTAATAACTTTGATCTCAGCCAAACCGATTTACTCCGGAACAAATAAAACAGAAAAAAGCCCAACAATAACATTTTTCAATTATCCAAGTGACTTATATGTCATGTTTAACCTGAGTAGTGAAAGACGGCGGTGGGTCTGAAAACGATGAAGCCGGGGGTCCACTGCTCTCTCGAGTGACCCTTGACCTCCCGGTCAGCTATCGAGCTGGTGGGTCACAGACGTCTCCGAAAACGTCAGAGCGCTTTTGCAAATATGCGATATCTTGATAAACCGAGCAGATCTTTGAAGTTTACACAGATTCTTGCCTGAAAATATGTTAAAAGTTAATTTTGTGACCCAGAAAGAATAATAAGAGTAATATTAAAACTTAGTAGCGGCCGCCATTGTTGGAAACTGAAGTTTGGCTGGGCCGCGCTATGAATTCTGGGATATGGTGGGCCACGAAGCAACACGACAACAGACGCTTGACAGTTAGAACAGACATGGAGAGACTAAGGCACAGGCATAACTCAGAGTCAACACTGAGGACAAGACAGACCACACAGAGGACAGGAAAGGACTCGTAAATCAGGAGACGCATGAAACAAACTAAATCCCAACTAATAATAACAACATGAGAACTTAACGTATTCCCAATAAGGAACAATGACTTTCTGTCCCCTACCATGTTTGCATGTGTTAGCTGTCTGCTAACCCAAAGCCTGAATAGTTGCTTATATGTACATGTTAGCTTGCCAGCTACACCAGGCAACTACCTGTGTATCAGTAACCTCTTTACCTGGTAGGTGAGTAGTGGCCTGTAACCTGCAACAAAATTATTTAGATAAAAGCAATAATTTTGTTGTTACCATCAAAACACGAGGTCTAAATGTGACGTGAATTTCTTGTTAGGTAAGAAGGAAACGTAAGAAGCCACCGTCTTTGTTTTTATTTTCATGCTGTGATGTTTTGCTGGTGCAAGTTTCCAGTTCCTCACTGTGTCACCATTAGATGCATGTTGTCTGTGTTTGTCTGTGCAGACAGCTGCGGAGAAGTTTTTCTGTTGAAGCATTTAAACTTTAAACAAAGTTCTGATGGATGCAGAGTTGGTCTAAAACCTCATTTTTATTCACTATTGCAAAATAAAATTACCTTAGTTTAGCTTTTTTGTATTTGCAACTTTAATACCTGTGCAGGAGCGGGTCATGGAAGGCCGGTGATCTCTGGGTCTCCCCACAGGCCTCCATCTGAGTCTGAGAGTGAATGTTAGAAAGAGAACTCGGAAATGTGCTGTGTGTGTGAGTGTGTGTGTGTGTGCGTGTGTGTGTGTGTGTGTGTGTGTGTG